CTACGTCGGCGGTGAATAACAGGAGACAAAGGAACAAGCGGTCCGTAATCACAAGGGTCCATATAATACCCGTTTGGTAATCCGGACGCGCCCAATACTGGCAACTCTGGGAACAATTCTTCGGCACTTTCAACACCTTCAGGCAGTGGAAATACACTTTGATTGAAGCTCATTGCACTTATCCTTTCCCGTAATCGTTCACAATCATTTGGAGATAATTGACGAGATGTCGCACTATCTGTCGTTTTTGTTGATTTTTTGCCGAAAATCGAAGATTCTTGGTCTTCTTCTACTGAACAGACGTCGACCATGACTTCATCGCGCATAACACTTGTTGTTCCATTGTTCCGTTTGGTACCATCTGTTTGATCGCCTTCAATTGGACCTGTGTCCTCTTCTAGTTTGATAATTATGTCTGGTTGTATGCTAACGGCTTTCTGAGAAGTTAAACGCCGAACCTGTAATTGATTAGATATTCGGTAATAGTTTAATTAATTTATCCTATTGGGTTTCCTAAATAAATGAATTAAATGTTGTATTTACACAAAGGGTGCGTTTCTTTTCCTCGCTGCTATTATGCCATTCAGCACAAGCATAAGCTAGTTGGTAAGCCCATAATTTCTTTAGCTTCCTCTCCTCATAAAAGTCGATAGCCATCAAATTCTACGAAAGATCAAATGTTGCCGTTGAGTGAAATGAAGCATAGCACTAAGATATCATTACCAATTATGATGCATACCATCTGGTAGAGTAAAACATCCCATAGAATAGGCAGACGAGTTGGATCTCTGAACCTCTCTCTCTGTCTTGTGCTCAGTGTCTGATTCACTTTTCTTTCTTCAATTTCTTTCAAAACCTTCACCATTCTAACCTCTTCCTGAGCAAGCTGTTATTAAGTTATATTATAATTCAGTAAATCAATGATATCCATTTACTTACATTGTAACATTAACCCTTATAATATCAAGGGGTTCTTTCAAACAACTATTCAACCAAGCTATTCGCTTTCTAGTACGAAAATGAAACGCACGGATAAGTCAATGTACTATTATTAACATGTCCGTAACAAGAGCCCTCGTATATATCTATTCTATGATTATCATACTATAAGACATCAACTCATAAGCAATTGAAATTCATAAACACACCTGCCAATCAGAAGTGAATATGACTTTGTTGAACTCTTGTAAAACAGCATGAAGTGGCGCATCTTGATAATGAGCAAGAATCGCCTCGCGATCGAATGGTCGCGATTGTTCGGACTGACGAGGTATCATATGTGTAGTGGGTGTTCTAGCAGAGTCTGGGGACCGTCCAGACGTTATGCGCTTACTGTCTTTTCTCTGATGCGTATTTACTGATAACTTTAAAGGAAACTTGGCGCTTTGTGGTGAAGTTGCAGATATTGGGGAATATGGATGAGCATTTCGCTAGAGAAACGAAGTTTAGTTGTTACCGGGAGTTCATTATCAAATATTGGTTGTTTTTGTTGTTTTTTCCCCTCCCCCTCGAATCAGAATCTTCAAGAAACTTCGCAAATAAATGGGAAGATACATACCTCAGCATCCTTCAATATTTCGTCAACGCTTTTAGGCGCAATAGCACCACTCGCAGCTCGGGTCACCATTCGCTCGATGGGAGGTGGTGGTATGCGTTTTGGTCTTTTAGTGGTAGGTGATGGTTCTGTTGGGGTTGAAGGTTCAGTCGATGCGGAACTCGGGCCGGCTTCTGGACGAGTTGAGCTCATATTTGCTGCACTCGATGTGAGAGAGGTGCTAATTCTTAATTCGTATGGTTTCAAAACTTCTTTTTGGGTCGCGCTCTCTGCACTGAAAAGGACTGTAAGCATCTTATCGCAAAGTTCTGAAAATGACTATATCTAAGCGCGCTTCCAAAACATCAACACCAGTTACCCGAATCTTAAATAGTTCATAACAGATTACAAAAAGGTACCTTTTATATTGGAGCCTTCGTTCTTGTAGATACGAGTGTAATTTTTTATCTATTTGATTCCAATCAGGTTCACCATTTTTCTCACTTTCTATTGTATAGAATAATTCTTTAAACAACGCCTCATGGCGTGCAATGATCCCTCTGTCGCATAGACATACCACATAAGCAAACACAGAATAAGAAATTTTATTGATTGCGAATAGATATGCGAAGACAAAGAGAGACAGAGTACTAACTTTATCTCTTTCTTTTTGGTTTCAGACACTGTTTCCCGCAACTTCTGTATATTGAGCTTATTAGATTCATATTCATCGTAAGTATTCGGTTACATCCCACTACACTATTGCCTTGGTCACGTGATGTCTTAATGTAGTTCCCAAAAAGCATACCAATATGTTTAGAGACTACCCCCCACTCCGCAGCAATCTACTCGATATGTTATAAAGCACAGGAGCCTCTTCCTCCATAATCAAACAGTCAGCTCACGTTAAGCGCGACTTGACGAATCTAAATACTCCAAAGTGACTGGCCTCTTGCAAAAATTATAGCAACGACTTTTACCTTTGAGCTTCCATCATAGTTCTTAAACTCTCTCACCTTCGATTCGCTTGACGCCTCTTTGTCCATAGTGTCATAGTATTTGAGTATAAGAAGGTTGAGGGCTTTCGCCCTTTTATGAAATATGTGTGAATGTTTATTTCGGGGGTGGTATCTATTATTCTTTTAACAAACTTGCAACTTGCAAGTTCTGTAGCATCCTGAGTGTGAGGACCCTGAGGATCGCCAAAGATGACGTAATTGAGATGTTGTGGCGTAGTTCATAGTTTCATGTGACTTATTATGCCCAATAAGAGAAAAGATGTAAACCTTGCAAAACAAAGAGCAAGGCGTAAATAAAGTTTAGACTTCTTGTTGAATTTCCAGAGGAATAGGTCTTAATAATACAAATTCTAATGCGTAATTATGTTAGAATGTCTTAATCTGGGGAATGTACGTCCGGTTGAATTAGCTGGGGGACAGATCAAAACTAGCTATGAAATGAGTGAAAGATGCTGGTGTAAGTTAAAGTAGGCTCTGGCTATTAAATTACAAATTGACAGACGCGTTAAAGTTTATCTGTCAAATGGCATACGATGAACATGCTGAACGGGTTGAAATTCTCACTTTATTTCTCGCCGTCCATCCAATCAGAAGACACAGAATTTTTAATTTGGCATAATCGCGAGCTTAGCAAAATAGTAAGAACATAGCCATTATCTATAACAATCGATATCCATAATGATGGGGCCTCTTCCAGCGTTTGCTATTTTGGCCTTCGATTCCTTGATTGTTTAGCATAATACACAGTGAAAGTCGATATAAAGGACCGTCAATAAAACGGACTTTTTCTCCGGAGCGGAATTTGTTTACTATTACTGATATAAAACTCATAAGTCGATATTACGGATTAAAATGCTGGTCCCAAACAGTCTGTTATATATCGACCTTCACTGTGTAATAAGTTTTATTTATACCCGATTGAGCTATAATATTCTGTATAATTGTTTTTCCTATACGATATTCTTTAGACAATTAAGGGTTTCAGCTTTTGCTGACCATAAGGCTTTTTTTCGATCGAGGCACTTTTGAGATGGATCAATTTACCCTTAAGCGAACGTGATTATATTATTATTTATATGTACGCAAATTTATAGGATCGATCGAATAAAAAAAAAATCAGGCCTCGCTCAAGGCGATCGCATTACTGGAAAGTCGAATTATCGGCTGGCACTTATAATAACGCGCGGTTGATTAACGTAACGTTTCTCTCTACCAGCATGTACGAAAGCTCTTATATTCCAGCATCTAATGATTATTCGAAAATTACACAATGAAATGGCGGAAACAATACAACGGACGGCGACTTTATCCCTCTAACGGTAGATACGCAATCCCCCGTTAGCTGGCACGATGTTATCTTAACCAATTTGAGCACTCCGTGATATTAATATATTTGAGAAAAGTAGTCTGTAGATTCACCAACCAAGATACTGTATTATCGGCTACTTCAACATTGCTGGTTCGCGTCTTGGCTTGGTTGCAGCATGCCCCATTAACACTAGCCTCTAATACCAATACAACAAAATCTTCGTTCCTAAACGTCCCCATTCAGGAAACTTTTAAGTCGGATCTTCCAGGAAAATAGCTAGAAAGCAGATTAACATCGCTTTTGTTTTCACTGAACTATCAAAATTTTGCGATGCTTAGCCAGGACTTAGATACCACATCTTCAGCATATTATTAATGAAATGCTCGAAACCAATGGGTTAAGCTTATAAACACGTTGCATCACAAGTTTTCGGTAGCTATACAAACTTGCGTGATTTACGTCACAATTTACGATGCGTGTGACATTTCCAAGGACCTAAGAATCGCACGATTACAACCAGCTCTTTAAACCTCTTAATTATAAACAACATGGGCACAAATCCTGTACGTATTGGTTGTTACAGGTAACCTTGCTAAAGAATTCTATTCTGATTCGTTTCGCAAGATGATGACCGATAAAATGACTCTTATATACAGCGCTTTTTGGGGAGACTCTGTTACGGCAGCCGAACAGCTAGTTTCGAAAGAGAAATCCAATTTAAATTATTTGGTAGCTGATTATCTTGCTGGTAAGAATGTATGCCTCATCACCCCATAATGCATTCAGACAATAGTCTCGGCATTCATTGTGCTGCCTCTCCTTCGTTCACACAATGAATTTACTCTATTCTACATAGAGGTTACGATGGGCCTTCTAGCTCGTCGCAAAGCAAGCCTCTCTCGCAATTTAAAAGGCGCGAGCAAAGGCGGCTACATATCTGAATTTATCACGTTAGTTATAGCACGTCTGCTGCCTGACATTCACAAACATAATATCAAAGTGATAACCAATGCTGGAGGATTAGATCCGGTGTCATGCAAATTAGCGATCGAAACTTTGGCAGCGGATCTCAAGATTCCGATAACTGTAGCTGCAATAACAGGAGACGATATTCTTCCGAGATTCAATGACCTGTGCAAATCGCAGTCACTAAAACCGTTCTCACCCGTTCCGGGGAGTAGTCCTGATACGTTACCCAAGGGTGATAAAGAGGTTTTGAGTTTGAACGCTTACCTCGGGGCTATTCCCATAGCCAGAGCACTCGATTCTGGCGCACAGATTGTCGTGACAGGGCGAGTAGTAGATTCTGCACTCGTGGTTGGGCCGTTGATTCACGAGTTCAAGTGGATGGCAACTGATTACGATAAACTTGCATCTGCGTCTCTTGCTGGACATATAATCGAATGTGGTGCACAGGCTACTGGTGGGAATTATACAGACTGGGAGGAGTCGGCGTTCTCCCTCAATGGAGGTTATGCTAACATTGGGTATCCAATAGTCGAGTGTCATCCATCTGGAGAGTTTTTTGTGACAAAGCCAAGTGAAACTGGAGGAGTTGTTAACGTCAAGAGTGTTACCGAGCAAATGTTGTATGAAGTGTTAGATCCAGCAATTTACATTCTTCCAGATGTTATTCTGGATTTGACTCGGGTGAAGATTGAGCAAGTTGATGAGGCACGAGTAAGAGTTAGTGGAGCTAGAGGCAAAATACCCACGGAATTGTTGAAAGTGTCTGGTATTTACGTTGATGGATATAAGATGACAGGAGAGATTGTTGTTTGTGGTATTGATGCATGGAAGAAGGTGTGTATTAAGAGTGCTCGGGTCAAGTCGAAGCATGGTCGATTAGATCGCTCTTGGGGCATATTTTAATTGTTCAGGTTTTTTTCTAACGATCAAGTTACTATTTATATTAGTCCGTTGTAATAGCGAATGCCATTTTATCGCGCACACGTCTTTTGTTCGCAAAATTTGGAATGAAAGACTTTCGTGCCACGAACATTGAACCACTTGGGGCTGAACACACTTATGGGTGAGATAGGACTAGGAATTCGATTATCAAATAATGAATCTCTTTTTATCTGAATACGTAGAATTACTGCTGACATTTTCTTTATTGACAGTCCACATGCCAGAACCAAACACACAAGGGAAGTGGTACTACGAATCACGGTCCATCATGACGACCCTCAGGCTTTGAAGATATTTGCTATGGAACTTGCACCGGTAGTAACAGTATGAGACGTTGAGACGATAATAACATGAGGACGTTTGCTCAATGCGATCATTTATCACTTTACATTAGGCTGCAACTTCAATGGCCCCAGGAGTAACTGGTAATAATTGTTATATCACCGATCTCGTCATTTGATCGTCCTTTGGGATTATTCATTCACTTTCGTATTCTATATGAATTATCGAACCGCTTTCACTTTCATCATGAACAAGGTGGCGGATCTGGCCGTCCCCACCCATCTCCTAATCTTGTTCATTTTTCTTCTTTGATCTCAAAGAGCCTGGTTACGCCCGCTTTTACGATTACAAACGTTTCCGAAGATATTCCTTTCACTGGACCTATGTCAAACCGGACATATGGCGACGTCGAAAAGAGCGATGGTGACAAACAAGCTCACACAGAAGGAGAATATACTTTGAAAATGCCGTTGATTAAGATTGCGCATGGTCGAAGTGGAGACAAGGGCGATACTTGTAATATAGGTAAGGAAGAAACGTTTTTGGTGTGTGGTTGTGAATTCAAATATGAGGATAATGTGGGATCTGCATTCATTGAAAAATCAGGCATCATTGCACGACATCCAAAATATTATGGATTTCTGAAGAGAATGTTGACCGAGGAGGTGAGAACTTCGAGCTAATCAATCCTATTTTGAGTATAACAAAAAGTCTAAGTAAATTTTATTGCAGGCCGTACGAACATATATGTCACATGTATGCAATGGTATCGTTAAGCGATATGTTGTGCCAGGATGTTACGCACTGAATTTTGTGTTCACAAAAAGTCTGGGTAAGCAGTTAGAAAAAATACTTGAATTCCTGCATAAAGACGCAATAAAGAATTTAATCATAATTTATAGGTGGTGGTGGATTGAGCTCTTTACGTGTGGATAGACAGGGAAAGACATTTGCTCAGATGTTGTTGAGTTATGAGGTTGAAGTACCAAATGGTTTGATTTCTAGACTATAGTCAATGGTCAGAATAATTTACCCGCCTTCTAGTCTTTATTATTTTATCTATGATACTAAAATTTGCCAGATAATCTTCCTCTACTCCTGGCCGGAGTATTTTTCGATAATTAGAGAAAGGAGAAAATAATCGACGAGATTAGATTTAGATGGGTAGAATGGAGATCGTGTATGGTACATGATTACACTTAATACTTTTGAGCTTATCTATAAACCAGTGTTGTTGGTGCTTTTTGATTATGATATTATTTTAAATCTACAAAAAATATAGTACGACAATTAGTTACAGACAGCTGTCTTTGCAAGTACGTGTGGATACGGCGAATCGACTCCATTCTTACCTCATCAATATCGAATTCAAAGTTGCATTCATCATCATCCGAGCCCAATCCACCTTCATTGATTTTAGCTAATTGAAGATAAGGTAAGTAAATTAGTAATTGAATGACATTTCTACAAGGGTTCCCCAATAGTCAAATAAAAAGTTGGGCTTACCATTTTCCGGTAATTCTCCATACGCTTTGAGATTTCTAGCTTCTTCGGTCGTATATTTTAGGATAACATCGGCCTTTGAATCTTGATAATCTCGTAGAGAGATAAGAATGATATCCCCTTGATTGATCCAAACCTGAATAAAACCAACAATAGATCGATCCTTAGAACAATCTAGTTCAAACCAATGCACTAATCGATCATTCAAGTCCTTACTTTTTTACGGAGTTTACCACGGATATGTGCCAGGCGTTTTTCTCCGTCGAAACATTGAGCTTCCAATCGACCATTGCCAAGCATTTTAACTACTTGGGCATACTCTATTTTAAAATCAAAACTAGCAGATAAGCAAGATTATTATACAAATATGCGTAGCAGATATACACTTTCAGGTAGCAATGCTATTATCTGCGCATTTATTTTTGGCAAATTTCGCGCGATAAATGCCCGTGCTGATATATCCATACACACATTACCTTGTCCATCCTCCTTAAAGATCAACTCTCTTTTTTCGGATTCATTCTCATTTTTTCCCCTTCTTCTGTTTTTCCCTCCCTGTAGTTTAGATCGCATTCAGTAAGCATTCAAAACATAGCCACACAAACTGGATCACGCTTGCCATACCTTCCCTTTATTCTTTGGCATATTTAAATGGTTAGAATAGAAGTTTTATACAACAGAATAGAGCTTCCTAACGAGCAGTCTGACAAAATAGAACGACTCTGTCTTTGGGAAAGTCAAAACTGCGCTTACGTATTTATAAAAAAGCTTGTGGACACGTGAACCAATTATAAAACGCCAAATCGGGGTAAATTTAATTTTCGTTGTTCCGTATTAGTATACATAATAAAGGTACTCGTACACAGTTTATTTTGCCGCCGCCGGAGCCCCGTAACGCAATCCCACGAGCTGTAATAGTTCCATCCAAAGGTGCATTGAGTGGAGTTCCTCTTGCGGGAGCAACAAAGAACTTTCCACTCGACACCTGCTGCGGTTAATGCTCGTAGACACCCGGAACATTCCCATGCTGCACAAAACCAGACAAAGTGAACATTTTACATAAATGAGAGACTGGTGTGGCTTAATTGACTAATGATATTTTGTGCGAATTGCTAAGCTTGACGTTATAAATTATAACATATTTAATATATCTATAGGACTGTTTCTACATAAAAATACAATATAAAACTAATTTACGTCAAATCACTATGTGGAGCCAAAGATTTAAAAAAAAGAACAGGGTAAAAAAATTGGCGCTTATGTTTTTAAAATAAATGATACCGAAATCCTTGAGGAATATCTAGATAAAGAAAAAATCGCTTATGAAAGAAAGAAAAATAAAAATCAATTGACGCCAACTTATGATGAACCAGAAAGAAACGAAAACTAGAAGAAACGTAAGGGAAGTAAATTTAACGTAACAGCTTTCCGCCGAGGCCTCCACTAATCGAGCGACCTATCAACAAAAGATCGTTCCTTATAGTTTTTGACTTGTTGATAAAGGACTGCTTGAGCGTATCCGTTGAGTAATGATTCGCGTTTCGCTACTTTGATATAATTGTAACCAGCGTCAAATAACGTAACAATAATTTTAATTTTGTAGACATAATTTTATTATTTGATATTATAGAATGTGATCGCTCTTAAGAATATAAAATTATCTTTTTATCTTCATCTTCATGATTCTTCTTTCTTTGTCAATCCCCTCAATGGTCTTTTCGATTTCTGAAAAGTAAATTTTGTTCCCGCCGACAGTTTTGTAACTTCATCGTTTGAATTAAGGTCCTGTATTATTAAGCCGACCATTACAAATTATGCCATTTAGCAACAGGCCGAAAACGAAGCCAATAAATATTCCAAAAGATTTTGCTCAATTTTACTTTTACAATATTAAGTAATTGGTGTTTGTTTTTATAGCATTCGATTAATATTAATTGCGAATTTCTGCGCAACAATTATCATTGGACACTGGATAAAGATCTGTAGAAGTTCTTAATTGATTAAGCCACTGGATGCGAAGAACGATTAGAGAAGCGAAGGCAGTGAAGAAGAGGTTCGAGGAGAACCCAGAAGAGGGGAAAGGAGATCCTGCCAAAAGCTGACTGACAAATTTAAATCTTGGGATTATGGAGATATACCTTATCTTTTTGGATACCATGCTGAGAGTATTGTCAGTTTTCGTATCTTGTATGTCATTGAACCATACGATAACTGTAAAGAAAACATCCACTCATTTGCAGAGAAACACTTGCTGAATTTAATTGTCAGATAGAATCTGATTAATGAAATATATGTGAGTATCTTTTTGATTTTTGAAAATATACCATCAGAAATACTCACTGTGTATTTCATAATATAGGTTGCATAATGTCAATGATGCTAAACATGTGCCCTTTCAAGAGACTCACCAGAGTTTTATACTTTACAATCGGATAATGGCACTGTTATTGAAATTGGTTATGGCATTAAAAAATTTTTCATTTCAAAAGATATAGTAAATGTCATTTATGGAAGTATTTTCAACATTAATATCTCTCTTTCTACTGTAATGCTCCTATTGAATTTTCATCTTTGTATCTCTATCACGCTCTATGGTTCAAATACTCTAATAACATTTGACATGGGTTTCTCCTCGTTAACAAAATATTATTTTAACTTAACAATAACAATAACTTTATTGTATCAAGCGAGTACAAACTTTCTAACGAGTATATTAAACTACTACTACGAACGCCTCTTTTGTATTACACCCAGTTAAACACTTCTCATGCCTCGTTCGTTAGCGACAAAATATCAATAATCGAATACTCAGCTATTTGGTTTGTTGACGCGAGAATTCTAACATGCAAAGTATCAATTCAAAGAATTATATGATAACCGAGTGCTTCTCATACCTGTTTTTTCCAGGATCTTACGACGGAACACCAATTAATATTAACGAACATCCACAACCCGGTTTGTTAGTTACTAGGATTCTTACATCAAAATATCGGTATCAAAAGAAAGGACAAAAATAATAACAACGTTTACAATAATAATAACGGGTATCAATATTTTATTACAAAAGATGAAGCCACCCCAGGGAAGTAGTTACACTTTCAGTTTTACCCTTCAGCAGTAAACAACGATCAAAATAGAATTTTCGACCAATAAAATAATTCTGAAGTAAATAGCAGGGATAGCTATAAATAATGCACGTGAATACAGTCGTACCCCTGTATAGTTACACCCTCTATAAGCACACATATAAAAAACCTCTTTATAATAGCAATAGTAAGCACACCATGTTGAAAACCAATTACTATTAAACTTATAGAAAAAACCCTCTATGCAGTCACAACCTCTTTATAAGCACACTTCCAACAAAAGTTGCATTGTTCCCGACAGCGTGAGTACGACTGTATATCTGATTTACCAGTAGGAACAGAAGGTAAGATATTAGACCAATCCCAACGGGTTAAGATGAATTTCTCTGACGTTATGTTTACTTTGTCTGTTTTGTTGCAATACGTTTCAATAACATTTTAATGACGGTACTATTCGAAGCATGTTTAAAAGAGAATCGGGATAAAATCTCGTCACTATTTCTATCATACACATTCTCTGCTTGTCTTGCAAGTGATAAATGAATAAGTTTCGCTGACAAATGGTAAAGATGTGATTGACAATGTGCTTCATGAGGCGTGAAATGTCAATTATTTGATGCGTCGAGAATGTATACCCTTTTTACAATAAACAATTTATTATTCGTCAAAAGTAAATGGAAAGGCTTTATTTCATAATTACGTGGAAATTTGGGTAATTAATTTAATCCCGATGTTAGATGAGCAACACGTATAAGATTTTGGTTAAGATAAACATATGCTCCTCTTTAATAAGTCGTACGAGGTAAATATAATTGATACAGTACAGTCAAATTTAAATGATTACAAATATTCCAAGAAAAACGAATAAACCATGCTTCACGGCTTAACAAATTAACTGTTCTTCATTACAACCAATAACAACTTTGTCGAAATCTGAACTAGGCACCCCGTTGCTATGGCTTGGACACCAATTACCGACCTCTCCACCACCGTTACACATCTTCACACAACAACCATCCTGCGGAGGACTGTCCCATCTGTAAGACTTGATGACAAAACCAGGAGAAAAAGAGCCTTTCGTGGTGTAAGTTTTAACGTTACCGAGGAAGTTATGTTCTGACCAAGCTTCGAAAGAGAATGCTGACGCAAGACGGACAATCAACAAGATAGCAATTAATTTGTAAATCATGGTGGCGAAAAGTTAAATTGAGATTTGTTCGATCTGTTAAAAAAGAAGATTACGCATTAATCCGATAAAAGTTCAGAAGATATGTCAGAATAAATGTCCTTGGAATACCTTATCGTATGAATTCAAATCTTCAAAATTTGTCTTTTTTTTTCTTTCCTTGATCGGATCTTGTAGAGACGAGGCTTCCCTGTGGGGGTATTTATATGTTATTTCAACAATACACGTCGCGGACTAACGCCCCCCGACCATATTATTCGGCGTTCTATAACAGCGCTTTTGGTAAACTTCTTTGGCTAGCTTCAAAGTACGGCGCGTCATATAGAAATATTATTAGAAAGTATTGTCTGTTTTTAGTCACCAACCGTAAAAATTTTCGACGGTCCGGGTTCTCAAATAATTGAATGTTGACATGCATTATTCTTCACAAACGTTGTAACACAATACTGATCGTTGATATTGATTGCCGATCATGCAAATCATTGAAAGGCTGATGCTCATTTAAGCATACACGCAATAAATTATTTGTATTTCATATTAGGTTAAATCATTAGCACAAAGAATGGATGGCTTAAGCGGCCCGAATTTGCCGAAAATTTCACGATATGCATGATGGCATTCCATACTAAAAAAAGCTTATATTGCGTAATATAGACGTTCGATACGAACACTTTTTCGCTTTTTTGGCGTTTGTTTGCAGATGAAACAGCGAGTCTCATTTGCTAAATGAATTCGCATCTTAAAGGGAAAGCTCTCCCCGTTCAATATTTACAGCGCGTTACGAGAGAATTTTCTATCACACAACTTTGCCTCTGCTGATTTTATTTGACAATTAATATTCGTAAGCTAAGGTACTTTTGAACGGACAGTTATTTAGTTCGTTGTATTCTTCTTTGTAAATGGCTGATTTTTTTTTAACAGATTGAGCAAACTCTGTCATAAAACAAACTCATCATTATGATTTACAAATTAATTGCTCTCTTGTTGATTATGCGTCTGGTGTCAGCATATTCTTTCGAGGCTTGGTCAGATAATAACTTTCGCGGTTCTGCTACTACTTACAATAGTCCAGGCACTTTTGTGCCTGGTTATGTCATCAAGTCTTACAGATGGGACAGTCCTCCTGGAAGCGATGATTGCTGCGTGAGAATGTGCAATAATCAACAGGATGTCGGTTATTGGTGTTCGAGTCGTAGCAATGGTACACCCAGCTCTGACTTCAACAAAATTATCATCGGATGTGGTTCTGACAAGTTGGTTTGCTAGTTGGATTATATTTAAGTCTTAGAGAGCAATATACGGTTGATTTCTTTATAGTATAGGTTTACAGGGGAGTAATCTATCAATCGATTCTACGCGTATATGTGACACATAAATCATTAAACTGTCCGAGTTCAGAATACTAAAGTTCTGTTAGTTATAAACCTCCGTTTATCGATGTGTGAAATATGAAGTTGTAATTAGCTCTTAACGTACATGATACTATATTTGTGATTATTACGCTGTGACTAAGGCTAAACGTTTTGTTCTAGGAAAATTTGTCACGACCAGTGATTTTTAAATAATACTACACTGTGACTAAGGAGAAACGTTTTGTTCTAGGACAATTTGTGATTTTTACTACGTAAATTACAGATTATCTATAAAGGAAAAGATAATTTAGACAAAGCATACTGTAAATTAAGAGATACAAAAGTATTCGACACGCCTTAGTAAAATCCTTTTTCGAAAGTCTCTATTCTCCATATATACTATGTAAGTAACAAGAGTCATTGCATCGTTTAAAGCTAATTGATCGTGCTATTCAGGGGAAACTATACTGTCTATGTAACCTATGTGCTGCTACTTCAGTGAACTATAGCTTTATACTTTAATTTGCCCAAAACAATATAAAATTCATTGTTACTTACATAGTATATATCCTGAAGTGCCAGTGGCCTGAGCTTGTGGTCACATGTCAGCATCGAACTATTATATCCATTACCTAAAGACACAACAGTATGATGCCTGTAAAAAAAAGCCATTGACTTCTGTTCACCTCAATCCTTTTTCGCTACATCTTTTCTTTTAGAGTTGCATCTCAGAATGTTCAATTGGATAAGTTAGAAGATCAACGAAGTATATGTTTAATGTTTCTGCCATGTCGAGAACCGTAAACTAAGGTTTAATTTATTAAGTAGAATTCATATTTGAGAATGACGAAATTTTACGAGTCGCCGCGCGTGGTATTGTCAATTTGGATTTTTATTAAAAGCATTTACTACTCTTATTGTTGCGTGTGCTACTTATAAGTATTTATTCATTTAAAGCAGACTAAGTTAGCCGTAAATATGGCATATTTCACGATATGTCTTATCGTCTAAAATAGTGTTATTCGATGACTGAATTCAGATTCAATACCCTTTTCTATGTTATGTAATGACGACGTTCTAACGATAAGGACTGCGTTGTAAATGCCACCTTTTCGTGTTACTTGAGAGAATCAATCTCGACGTGCTTGCAAATTCTATCGTGGACGGGAATGTCCGATTAGCTACACTGTCCGTCATAGCGTTTATCGTAGATTATGTCTAACAAAGAGCAAAAATCACACCAATTAATTACAAAAACTGTCGAAAACGATCATAGCATGGATATTTACATCTTCACAGGGGAATAACACGAGCTTTCTCGATTATAATTTCGTCCGCCGGTGGTAACTTTGAAGACACCCATTCAATATCTGTCAACTGCGATACATCTTCTCTCCTATGTGGTGGAATAAGCTACAAAGTCACATATCAACATTGAGAATAAGTTAATAGCAGCCTTTAAAGCGTAAGCGTTATTTGTATGTGCTATAAACTGACTACTAACCGATCGTATCTTTGCATATGGTTGTTCTCTACTCGTAAACTCTTTCGTTATCTTATCACTACCAAATTCATGATACACTCTAGTGTCATTCATACGAAAGAGAACGCCATCAACACGAAGAAAGAACCGATGTAGCGCAAAGAATCCAGATGGCATTACTCGCTTATACAAAGAAAATAAATTAGTTAGATTCGTATATTTCGAAATCGAGATTGCTCTTTTTATCGGTTTGCTCACCACTTTCACAAAAAGAATCGCAGTTCCATTGTCGGCCAGTTCATCCTCGTACAAGACGTTTTCATCATAAAATAAAATAGGTTCGGGAGCTCTCAACTTTTCGACATCAATTCGTTCGCTAGTTGGTTCAAATATCTGGCCATCGACTGGTTGTAGTAATGTACCCGAATACGTCGTCGTGTAGGTCCAATCGTACGGCTTCACTACATCTACAACATGCCCGCTGTTCTTTAAACTGTAATGGGAATAAGGAATTTAGTTGGCTTTTGTACCCCCTCCTCGTTTCATGGTTTAAAGTCATGGCCATAAATGCTTAATATCTTACTTCTATAATATCTTACTTCATATTCTTCCATTCTTCCGAATACGCTAGTTTGACCCCTTCGCCTCCTTCTTTGGTTGAGTCTACGCACTTTAAGGCATCCGTTGGATTGAATTCGAAAACAAAGTTATGATCCTTGGAGAAATGAAGAGAATTGTTTCCAAAGAACATCTCTGGTAGCGGAACAGGAACGGTTCTCTGAACTCTGATGGAAAAAAAACGGAGCAAATAGAGCATTCAGCATAAATTGATAAGAGACAAAAAGAAGCGGGCGGGTGTGAGTGCTTGTACAAGTATGAACGATTTACCTATCGATTTCCTTGGAATTTAAGATTGGACATTTCGTTGATATGATGGTCCATCCTTGTATGCGAATGCCTTGTTGTGAACCTTCTTTAATTAACTCGTACTTTGGAAGAATGGACATGTTAAATGCACACTCATCGAAATATGTTGTAATGCGGTTGATTTACCAGTATTGGTTTTGAGCGTTATACTCGTGAATCGAACGACAAGAGTGTGTCGACTGATAAAAACATTTAAACCTAAATTATATGTGTCACCAACAAATCTCACCAATCAAATATATATTGAGAGAATGAACACAAATGCTCTTCCAGGTAACAACATATAATCTAATATTAGTTTTACTACCTAGCAAAAGTATAAGTAAAACATATGAAAAATCCTTTTTTCGAACATCTCTGTTGCCCTACGTACTATGTTAGTTAAAATACTTTTTATACTAATTGATTGTGCTTTTAAAAATAATAATGTGAAAATTAAAATAGTTACTGTGGTGCGATGAAGGAGTGGTATCTATGTTGCACATATAAAAATGCATGAACAACATGGATACCGCCACCGTATCGAACTGCAGCCTTAAAACGATACGGGACAGAATATATCATTACTTTCTTTCAAAATACAATTAATTAGCTTCAAAACAGTATAAGGATTATCTGAATAACATAGTACGTATGGGCAACAGAAATGTTTTTGAAAAAAGATTTTTCATATTAATATGTTTCAAATAATAACATTGTTAAAACTTAAATATTATTTTGTTTTGCAAAGAAACGTTTTCACTTTTATTCATCAGCAATTGACAACATACAGTAGCTATTTTACTTTCAGGCTGACATGCAAATCCAAAGTCTATTAAATAACACATCTCTTTTCTGCCATTTGATATTAAGAAATCATCCACGTGAATGTCATTGTGTAGAAAGCCACGTTGATGTACTGCATTCAAAGCAGCCATAGCCAGTTTTTTTTTTTTTCCTTTTTCTGATGGATTAACTGGGTAATGAGTGTTGTCCCTATGCCTCCCAAAACCTTTCCATAAACAATCCTTGGTCCTTTGATATAGAGATTAGCGACTAATATTTCAACACGTCTCAATTTTTCATCCAATTTTCCTATCCTATCAGAATGTCAGATAAGCTTATAGAGGTTATCTGTGCACCAGTACTACTTCGTGACTCGGCTTAGATAGTTGAATGGCAGAAGAGCTTAGAGATCCTTGCCACGCCACAGATTCCTAATTTACATGTTAACAAAAAAATTACTTGTCTTCTTATACTGATCGTGCAGCTGTTGTGCAGTCACGCAAGTGACGTGAGGTATTGCCCTATCTTGTTTCTGAGCGGTTCTTCAGCACACTCGTTTAAGAACCCTATAACGTTCCATTCGGAATAAGTTCGATCGAAATATTCGTGGTTCATGAGTAAAAAAACTTTTCACGGAAGTTTGAATCAAAGTCGCGTACTCGCACCCCCAAATTTCTCCAACGATTCTGCAATGCCATTGGTCAAAATTTGTTCGAAAACTTTGATTGGTTCGTTACATATAAGGATCTAATCTAGAGTAATTCCAGTCACTCCAGTCTTAATTTCATGACCAGAGTTGGGACATTAAAAATGTTACACTTGACACATAAACACAAAGTGGGTAACTGTGGTGATAATACAACGCAATACTTTAATTATCTGTAATAATAAAGCAATTTTGCTATTTTCATTCGCGTGGTGAGTCTGTAGATTATGGTCAAGAAATCCCACACATTTATCCCACACTTTTAACGTCGCACAGTATAATTCCTGTAATTTTCATTGTAAAAACCAACATTAATTCCGGTCAGCATTGTGTTAAATACTATATATAGGAATATATTGTACGACGTTAAAAGTGTGCTGTGGGATTTCTTGACTATAATAATAATGGACTGTAGCAATAAGCGTAATTTCTACCATTTAGATGAACACAACTCTATTGTTTAAAACTATTTATCGTATTCAGCGATGCGATGAATTACTTTTAAGCTCGATAGTTCCATTAATCTTATATTGATGGCAAAAGTAGCCAATAGGAATATAAATTTTCAATCTTGTTAGCGCTCAATAATAAATATGTTTCCAATTGACTAAGAAACGGGTTGACGGGCAAAATGCTAAGATGTAGGCCTTCGAAGGGAAAATAGAGTGTTTTATTTTAATTGGAATAGTGCATTTCTCCAATTATACACGAATTATCCCAAGAAAAAGCTTCTATCATGAATTGTTGTAATTCAGTCAAATTACTTGGCATTCGTAATTCTGTCAATAGCCCACAAATTTTCTATGAGATTCAAATGGAAGGCCAATCGATTACTCCCGAGACATTTTCCTTAAGGAATTCTTTGGCACGGTGACTTGTATGGGGTCGTTGTCTTGCTGCAGCCTCCAGTTATTCCCAAGCATACTGTGATTTACTGTTGATTTCTTGGAGGTTTTTTCAAGTATTTCAACATAAAATTTTGCGTCCATTATCTGCGTGAAGCAGAATAAACTCGGTTTTCCCTAAACGGAAAATTCACTCCAGGCGAAAACTTCTTTGTAAGCCGTCTAGTTGGACGCTGACCTTTATACCAGTGCTTAATTATAATTCGAAATAATTGAAATGCAGTTTCGTCACTGAATAAAGTTTTCTCCCACGAGTCATTAATCTGTAATAGGCGTACTGGTTTTTATAATCCAGTTCATCTGAATGCCTTTTGATTGTAACGTAACTTATATTTCTCAACGATTGAGTAGGATTTGAGATAAGAAACGCTTATTACACGTAGACTCCTAAAGTTGTTATTAATATTATACAGCGTCTAGATGCAACGGAAGAAACTATGCGCTATTAGAAGGAATTACTGTATAATGCTATTGTATTTTACCGAGTAACTAGCGAGATTATTAAGAAAGGACTGTAAATGTGCGATGTAACACAATAACTCTTATCTAAAATTGTTACTCGAAACCCTTTTTCATTCAAAATTATGTCGTTAGTTCCAGATAGTCAAAACCCAGCAATTGACAACTTGGTCGCAACTAGTAATAAAAAATGGATTCCTAACTCGGAAATTACCGAAAGAAAGTCAACTCAAATTGACAACGTCTACTACGCTAGTCGTCGCTATGAGATAATATTTACTAATGAGATAACGCTGATATTCCTCGGAAACAGCGAAGAATGTTCACCAACACTTGTGAGTGAGTTTGCCAGAATATACTCACTTCCAACACACAAGTACAACAATGATGTTAACCAGTTCAGAAGACATTCCGTATGGCTTGAAAAGCGCAACGAACATATAATTGGATTCACCAAGCATGACGATAATTACTACATGGTTGCTAGTAAATTCTTTTACGATTGTTATTCTCGGTATGGGTTCTGGAATACTCCGATGTAGTCCCGTGTGGTGCATTTGTGGGCATAAACAATTATCCAATGGATGGACTAGCAACAATAAGCAACTCGATAGAAATCTCAATTACAAACAAACTCTGCAAATGATCCCTATTCGGAATGGATTCTCAAAGTAGTGAAATTAAAATACAATTCGGATGCGCTTAAGCAGTTTTTTATCGACAAGCGACAACCAAAAGGAACGATCTTTCATTGACTGAGTCGCTCGATCAGTGGAGGCCTTGATGGGAATTATTATGTTAAACTTACTTTCTTCGTTTCTTTCCTGCATTATCATGAGTTGGTATCAATGCTCGCTTGTTTATTTTTATTTTTCGCTCTTGGTAAATTTCTGATTGTGCCGTGCTTCCTCGGTTTCATAGTGAATTCGATATAAATTTAGTTTTATATGACACTTTGTATAAATATACTCCTATATTAAGCATATTGTAATTTAAGTAAAAGTTTGTCTCAATAAAATTAATGATATGAATTCTGGCATGATAGTGTAACTTACATAAATTTTTGCATAGGCTACGGCTGTGGGTAGTTAATCTTCAGCCACACCGATATCTTATTTACTTTGTCTGGTTTTGTTGCAGCTTGCCAGATTAACAATTCAATACTCATATATGACTATAATTTTAAACTACAGTCGATTGCCGATAATTCGACCGCTTGCGGTCGGCGGTCATCGGTCGAATTAACGCAAAAGTCGAATTAACGAATATCCAATCATATGTACTTAATGGTAACACAATTTTATTATTTGAAAACTTAGCATAAGAAACTTGTAATAGAT